TAATATAAAAAGAGTATTCAGGAGTAGAGGGGTGGACTGAGAGATTTTATCCTATCAGAAGAGCAGGAAGGGCCAAATTGAACTGCCACATAAGGAGATGAAACAAGTCATTTCTGCGTTCTAGGAAAGATTTGAAAATTGTACCCCCTGTGTTTTCCTGGCTTTCTTGAGAATTAAATGAAAATATATGACATGCTCTACAAATTTTTAAGCACTATTTAAATGTCACATTTTCCCCCAAAATTCTGTGATTTCATCTATGTGGAGAGGTCCTGGTGAGGCACTTTAATCTCCAAGGAAAATCATCACCTTGTTTCCAACTTAAAGAAAGCTGCCTGGCCACTGAGGAGATGAGTGATTTTCCCAGCTTGACATAACCAATATGTATCAGAGGTAGAGAATGAACCCAAGTCCTGCTGATACTGAGGCTAGACCGCTATCCATTCAGTCATGCCACCTCATGAATGTCAATTATCAGAATTAATTATAACATACATTACTTGATTTGTCACCAATGCCTAAATGCTCTGGAAACCAGAATTTCAGACATTAAAGGTGCATAGATTTGCAAAAATATGTTAAACATCGAATTTTTCTTATTTGCATCAACTGCATATTGTCACCTAGAAGGCTATTTATCTTGCCTATCCAAGTCAATGATCAAAGCAGCATTTTAAGGAGATTAATGTAATCTAAAAACATTCCCAGGGTCCACACTCCAAAATGTAAACCATAGAATTACAAAGAGGCCTGATATGCTTCCTCTTTTAAACATCCATCCTTGCAAAGGATGCATGTACCTTTGAGCATTTCCTCTCAAAACCAGTTTTAACAAATAATTGCTTAGAAAAGGGAGAGGGCAAAGGATCAATGACAAAAAGTACCAACAGAAAAAGAAAAAGAAAAGTTATTACAAATCAAGGTGTTTCCATTGGGCTGAGACAATGACAGAAAGACTAGGTTAACCACTAAGATATTTTAAAAGCCAGCTCTAAGTTTTTAACAATATATGTCCTGGTAGTTCTAAGAGGCCAGGAACTACGACTAGGTTTTTTTTTTTCCTTTTGTACAATGACTAGTAGAGTATCTTGGATATAAGTGAATTTTTTAAATATTTGGTAATGAAGAAAACTATCTTTTACTGTGGGAATGTGTTGTCAAAGGATATTATGAAATCTTTGTTGCAGATCTTTAAAAATAGACTGTTTTCAATATGAATAAGTGGCAATTATATAGCACTTTAAGGTCTGCAAGGTTCTTTACATGCATTATCTCATTTGATCTACAAGACAAGTATTAATCTTCATTTTACAGATGAGGAAAGAGGCTCAAAAAAATGAAACAATTTAGTTTTTAATTTTATTCTTTCAATGAACACAGATCTATTTTCTCTTCTGCCAACTTCCCCCTCCCATAGGAAAAAAAAAGTAAAACCTTTGTAACAAATTTGCATAATCATGTGCATGGCCATGTTCAAAATATATACCCCTCACTCTGTAGCCTGAGTGTATCATCTCTTTATCACAAAGTGAGTATTATGTTTCATTGTGGTTCCTCTGGATTAATCAGAGCTCTTAAATTGTTCAAAGTTGTTTGTCTTAACAATGTTGTTATTGTATAAACTATTCTTCCAGTTCTGCTTACCAGTTCATCTAAGTCTTCCCAGGTTTCTCTGAAATGATCCCTTTTGTTTCTTAACAGGACATTTCTTACAGAACAGTATTCCATTATTTTCAAATAACATAATTTGTTCTACCATTCCCCAATTGAGGGGGACCCACTTAGTTTCCAGTTCTTTGCCACCACAAAAAAGAGCTGCTATGAATGTTTTTTGCTTATATACATCTTGTTTTTTCTATTGCCTTAGTGTGTGACAATTTTTTTAAGTTTTATTGATGATTTGTTTTCACGTTATAAACATTTACAGACTACACCCACTCTTGAGAGGTATCATGGAACAAAATGAAACGGTTAAGTAAAACTAGCAATAAAGCTATCTCATCTGAAAGTGCATGCAACATTTCACCTTTGTAGTATGCCCCCACCTCTCTACTTAAAAAAATTTTTTTTTTAGTTAACAAAAATCCAATTTTCTTTCCCTCCTATCTCTGACCCTATTGAGGAAAAAAGAAAAAATAAAAAACAATTCCTGGTAACAAATTTGCATGGTCAACTAAACATTGACTGTACACAAAATTATGTATATCTCAATGTACACAATAATTTTATCACCTCTCTGTCATGGATAACATGTTTCATCACCGGTTCTCTGGAATCATGGATGATTATTATATGGTTCATAGTTCTTAAGCTTTCAGAGTTGTCTTTAAAGTGTTGTCACTACACAAATTATTTTCCTGGTTCTGCTCACTTCTTCAATTTATAAATATCTTTCAAATGTTTCATTTTTGTAATGTTGATGTTACAGTACAAATTGCTCTGGCTCTGCTGATTTCATGCTACATCAGTGCAAACAAGTCTATTCATGTATCTCTGAAATCATTTAGTTCCTCATTTCTTACTGCACAATAATACCCATTATATTCATAAACCACAGACTATTCAATTCCTCAATTAATGGCCATCTCTTTAGTTTCATATTTTTTGCCACCATAAAAAGATAAAAAAAAAACCAATGTAAATATTTTTATAAACATAGGACCTTTGCCTCTTTCTTTTGATTCTTTTGGGGATAGGCCTGGGTGACTTACTCTTGGGAGCAGAATAGACCAGTTTTATTATTAAAGTTTCTTTCTGCTCTGTCAGTCTATTATCTAATACACTAAAAACTTAGGTCTCTGGCAAAAAGCATTCATTTTTAGTTTTGAACTAAAAACTGTATGTCACCAGAATTAAGGACTGAATGTTTTGGAGGGAAAAAGTTAAATTTAATAGTTGTTGATTAGAGTTCATACAGTTCTGTTTTTGGAAATACTGTAGATGTACGATAGAGATTTTAAGATTTCTAAAAACCTTTCAGAGACTTGTTTATCATATAATTTCAGAGACTTGTTTATCAATATTTCATTCTGAAGCTTGGTTTCCTGGTCAATATTGATTTTGTTTCTTTTTTAGTGATTAATGTTCGCTGTTTGTTACATGTTCAGAAAGTAAAGCAAGCAAGCACTCATGATGCTGAGAATTATTTTGTAAGGTGAAGCCAGTTGGAATGGTGTGGCCTGGTTAAATGTGTAATAAAATGCACACATAAAATGTGTACTAAAGGTCACAGATCAGAAGCGGCTGTTTGCTCAATGAACCAAGAATGAACTTTGCTTCTTACTGAATATTTATTTTACCAGCTGTTTTCACAGTTCATTGCCAACAAACCTGGGGCTCAAGAGTAACAAACAGAAGTGTTTTTATACCTTTCTCTCTTTGACTTACTCTGTGATCCATTAACACCATCTTCCTTACTGTTTGTTTGACATCTCCTGACTGTGTATTTTCACTTGCTTTCTCCAGTGCCTGGAATTCTCCCTCTCTCTCTTCATCTTTGCCTCCATTTAAAATCTTACCTTCTATAAGAAACCTTTCCTGGTCTCCCTTAATGTTAGCACTTTTCCTCTGTTGATCATCTCGAATTTATCCTGTATATATCTTATTTGTGCATTATTGTTTGCATGTTGTCTCCCCCATTAAATTGTGAAAAGAGATTGAGGAAAGCGATTTTTTTTTAACTTTCTTTGTATCCGCAATGTACAAAACAATGCCTGTGACATAGTAGGTACTTAATAAATGCTAGTCCATTTGACTTGAGATTAGATGAATCCTAAAGCCCTTTCCAACTTTTGTATTTCATAAAGCTATAAGTTACTGATTAAATTATTTATGGAATACAAATACATAAAATAACTTAAAAATGATTGATGGGTCACCATAGTAAGCATAGGAGTTAACCAAAAAGGTACCTGGTCTAATAAGCAGAATACCATTTTTACTGGAGAAAGTGGAATAAGCATATTTCTCTGCAAAATACCTTCCAGATCCCCTCATCAATTTAATACAATTTAAGTTGGTGGCTAGAGAGCAAAGCCATGGATATTCACAGTTCTAATGCAGGAGATGATTGGTTATATGATTTTGATAGATGAGACACATGATTTACTTTTTAAAGGAACAACCCTTATAAACAACATCATCAACAATAAATTTTCTCCAGGACTAAATCCAAATGTAGAGTTAACATTACTGAAGATATGTTCCCACCTCCTTTTTTTTTTAAAGAGTCAATAGATTACATAAGTTGATGCAAAATAATGTAAGAAAGCTAGAAAAACAACATGCATATTGACTACAACAATGTAAATGGAAAGAACCATTAAAAAAAATCAAAAAAGGAATGATGTTGCAAAATTATAAATTTACTCCAAAGAAACAATATAAAAAGACACCTACCCCTACTCCTTTGTAGAAGTGGGAGGAGGGGTTTATAGCGAAGCATTGCATATAACAATTATATTGATCAGTTTTGCTGAATTTTTTTTTCCTCTTCTTAGTCTTTTGTCTTTTTTCAAAAAACTTTTGTGTCATGAGGCATGATTTCATTGGAGTGGGAAGAGAAAGGATACAGGGAAAATCTAGGGATGCAAAAACAAAAGATTAAAATAAAAGCTATTTTTAAAAAAGAAAGAAATAAAATGAAAACCCACCATGGTGGCACATGCCTGCAATCACAGCTACCAGAGAGGTTGATGTTGGCAGATAGTTTGAGCTAGGCAGTTCTGAGTTGCTGTAGACTATGCTAATAGAGTGCCAGCACTAATTCAGGCCCCAATATGGTGAACCTCTAGAAATGAGAAATCACCAGACTGCCTAAGGACAGGTGAACCAATATAGATTGGACATGGAGCAAGTCAAAGCCCCTTTGCCATTCAGTGCTAGGACAGAGCTAGTGAGTAGCCTCTGCATTTCCAGCAGGGGTAAGTTGGAGAAAATCAGTCTTTAAAAAAAAATTAAGCATTATATAAATGTTGGGGATGGGGGAAGAGTCAACAAAATGTTTGTATTACATGTAGATTTATTTTTTTAAAAAATGAATTTGATATTACAAAGCAGGAAGAACAAAGTAGTGACGCGTTACAACAAATTGGTCTGTTTGACACTATTGAATAATGCCAGGGGCAGAAAATGGGAGTGTGAGGAGAAGCTATGTGTATGAGGGACAAGCCATCCTGGCATCCCAGTGACACAATAGCACAATGATAAAGAGATCTATATACTTAGCTAAGCTTTTCTAATAGACTCCACAATAGTTGAGTGAAGTCACGCATGTGTGTGTGTGTTCTTTTAAAGAATAAATATAAGTAAATGAGCCAGATTCTCCAAGTAATTAAGCTACTGTCAAGTCACAAACTGAGTACCTTTGAGAGCCACATGGATTCTTTGTGGCCATCTGTCAACAGGCCACATCACAGAATGAGAAAATAAAAATATATAGTGGACTGAAGGAATGATAAAATAGTGTGCTAGGTGTTCCAAAAGGTAGTACAGCCTCACCAAAGGTTTCTGATTTGGGACCAGGGAATATAGCTTAAGTCCTGAGAAAATAATGTTCATTGTATTGTCTCTTGTTCCATAAGGAGCTTGAGAGAGATGGGGATAGTATCTTGAGACCCATCACCATTACTGACACAACCACTCACAGCTACAAATGGTGGAGATAGTAGTGCCACTGTTGTGTACAAAAAATACATATTCAGTAGCTATAATAAGCCAACTGAACTCTTAGAAGCTGCACAAGTACATTTCCAACCACTAAGGTTTCTGCCTGCTTTCCCTTACCTGATATGGCTAGAATAAGTTAACTACACAAATCTTATTGTCCTTACTGGGGAGTTCTATGTATGCTTCAGTGAAATTTGATGTATCCTAATGATGCTAGCTCACATCACAGTTTAAAATGATCACTTAGAACACAAAAGGAATTTTTATTTCCAATGTCTCAGTTCAGTAGTACTGAACTAGAAGACAAATGGGGTTCCTCTTTGAACAAATCAAAGATATGAAGTTAATTAACCCCACAATAAACTTCTACAATAAATAGGCATGATTGACTTGTAGGTCTTTCCACAAACAATAACTTATTAAAGTCATTCAAACTGAGGAAGGACCACATGGGATTTATTTAGTGAGTCTGTAAGGGTCCTTGGGATTCCACAAGTGTGAGGAAATCCTGTTGAGGAAACTTCCTCCACCAGAGTACATCAGCATTTTGTCTGGAATTCAGTCTTAGAAAGTTGCCCAGGGCACTGCAAATGACTTAGCCATGGTCACACAGCTGAGATGTGTCAAAGGAAGGACCTGAACCTTAGTCTTTCTGCTGGATTGATTTCTGACTCCAAGATCAGTCCTCTCTCCACTCTAATAAGTTGACTCCCAAGATTTGGATTTGTTTTTGTAGGAAGTACATGAGTAACTTCTTTTTTGCTCTTATTTACTTTATACAATTAAAAAATAAAGAAACCTCCAAGTTAGAAGCAAAATAATATAATCTTTTTAACTTTTGTTAACATGCTGATGCATTGTGGAATGTCGAAAAACCACTCTTTAGTCTCATTTCCACAGACTCTACGTGAGCACATTAATCATCAAAAGAATTAACATCTGACTTCCAGAAGATTTTTTTAATTTACTTGTTCTTCTCCCAAGACAAAGAAAAAAGGAAAAGCACTGCTACATCTCCTTTGGCTTTATCCCCAGGACTGGAACAATGCATACTCTTCTTACATATTCATACATGTGTAAGACATTAGGAGCTCCTTCCTAATGTTGTGCTTAGTCCAGCGAGTTTCCCTGAGATATGAGTGTCACATGGACAATTCCCAATTCTGCTTTTGGCTGAATGTTTCCAATCAACATGCTAATATATAGTGCACTGGGAATAGAACTCTATATAACACTTTTTTTTCCGTGAAATTTAAAGTTCTCTCACAAAGAAACATGGCAGGAAAAAGAAATCATTCTTCTTGATTAAATATTGGCAAATATGTTTTCAGCTTCAAAATGTCTGAGATTGGCTCCTTTCTGTCTTGATAGAAGCTTAGTCCTGTGATAAGTTCAACATCGGTGACCCGGGCTCTATGAAGCCTCAGCAGCTCTTCCACCCACAAGGATTCCTGCTTTCCACGCTGTTGAAGCAAATAAATAATCAAAGGAGAACCAAAAGAATGGTGCAAATAAAACATACTTGTAGAGCACTCCAACTTATTATTTGGTGTGACCAACTCCCAAGCACCTATGCTTACATGGCATTATAAGGGAAGGTTATAAGAGGCAGTGTGGAGCAGTGGAAAGAGTCTTAGATTTGGAGTTAGAGGAACTGGATTCAAATTCTGGTTCTACCACTTATTACTCACGTGACCTTAGACAAACTCTCTGGAACTCAGTTTTTCCAACTGTAAAATGGTTTGTACTAGATGACTTAGAAGGTTCCTTTTAGCTCTAAATCTATGTTTTGGTGGTCCTAAAATCAGTTTAACATTGTCCTTTGCCCTCAAGAAGGTAGCAATCTAATATATAGCATACATATTTCATATAGGCGGCGCTTGATAAAATGTTGATTGATTGATGTATAAAAAGGACAATAAACATGAGACACAGAATCAATTCAACTCAAATACAACAAATATTTGTTAGCAAATTACTGGCAATAAATAAATGGTCATCTGTCCTAACTGAGGGGTTGGATTGGATGATCTATGTTACCTTGGACAAGTAATTTAACCTTGCTGGGCCTCAGTTTCTTTATCTGTAAAATGAGAGAGTAAGAGTAGAGGAATCCTTATCCCTTATTTCTAAATCCTATGACTTCTGAAGTCCCTCTTAACTTTAAGATCCTATGATTCTAACCTCTAAAATGCCTATTGTGGTATCAGCCCTCTGCTTATCAATGGGAGAAATACAACGTTTATATATGACATGGTTCCTGAACTCAAGGTACTTATGGTATAAGACACATATAGACATACACAAATAACTATAGCACAAAATGAAACATTAAAAGGAGATTTCAAAAATACTATGTGAGGTCTAAGGGAAGAAAAATCATTGTTGACTTGGGGGACAACAGGGGAGGATCAAAGAAAACTTAATTAGGAGGTAATATTTGATTTGGGCTTTAAAGGATGACAGTGTAGTATAGTGACTAGAGTTCTGAGACTGGAGTTAATAAAATCTAGGTTCAAATACCATCTCTGACTAACTAACCATGTGACTTGAGACAAGTCATTTCAGCTGTGTGTATCAGACAAATCCCTAAAACTTATTTACCAAGTCACAGATGGCTTCCTTTCATTGGTGGGGCAAGTTCCCATGCCAAGAGTTCCAAAATCAGGAATCCTCTACATTTAAAAGATGATTAAAAATTCCAAAAATGGAGGTGGCAAGATAGGGCTTTCTAGGGATAGAGATCAGTGTAAACATTGGCACATGCTTGAAGGATAGTCAGTAGGCAATCAGGCCAAAGTGGAGAGTATTTGAAGGGAAAATGTATGAGATAAAAGTGGGAAAATATAGGACTATAAAGGATCCAGACTTCAAGACCAACTACTCATTAAGCAACAGGAATGCACCCATTGAAGGGTTTTGAGCAAAGGAGAATCATAACCAGACTTTGCATAAGAAAAAATAAGTCTTAAGAGTCTTATGAGGCTTGACTGGAGGGAGAAAAGAAGGAATTAGAAATCTCTCCTCTCTACTTAAAAAAAAAAACCTCACTGGAATCTATCATTCCCTCAAGCTTTCATTCTAAATCTCTTCTCTATTTCTCAGCCAAACTCCTTGAAAAAGTTGTCTACACTCACTGTTTACATTTCCTCTCCTCAACTCTTTACAATCTGGTTTTCTATCTCATCCCTCATACATGTATAAATATATTAGCATATATGATATACACATATATGAATACATTTATACATATAATCTGATTTTTTATTATTATTTAAGTTGCACTAACATTCTATTATTTTCCTATGCCATAATTTGTCAGTTATTCTCCAATTGATGGGTGCCTACTTTGTTTCCTGTTCTTTGTTACAAAAAAAAAAAATACTACTATAAACATTTTTGTATTAATGGGTCTTTTCCCTCTTTCTTTGGGGTATCAGCAGAAACTTTTAACTCTACACATACAAAACTAAGTTTCTTTTCTTTTCCCTAAATTTGTTCTTCTTATGACTTCTGACCTCACTCTTACTTTCCATAGAATCATCTAATCCCCCATGTTTGAAGCCTTGGTATTATCTCTGATGTTTCCCTTTTTCTTATTTCTTATATCCAATTAGTAAAGTTCTGCCACTTCTAAAATATCTTTTTGCCCACTCACACCACCCCAGTATAGGCTTCATTAGTATTTACCTGGAATACTGCAATAGTTTTCTAACAGTTCAATCAATCAAAAAGTATTTATTAATACAATGCACCAGGCACTGTACTAGATTCTGGATACACAGGTACAAATAATGAAACAAGCCCTACTCTTGATGAGTTTACACTCTACTAGAGAACCCAGTAAATATAAAAATATATACATATAAATAAAAAGTGAGTATGTACATGCAAAAATGTGTCCCTACATACATATATAACTAGGTGTACATACATCTTATTTATATATAGTGTGCGCATGTCTATACACATATATTTGTGTACATATGTAAATATAGGCATACATGTATATATATGTATATATATAAATATATGTGTACTTATTATCTTCATTAGGTCCATGAACAAGGTAAGACTTCACTTAGTTAGGGCAGCTAGGTAGCACAGTAGAGAGAGCTCCAGGATTGGACTCAGGAAGACGTGAGTTCAAAATCTGGGCTCAGATACTTTCTAGATGGATAGGACACTTAACTTCTGATTGCCTCAGTTTCCTCTACTGCAAAATGAAGATAATAATAATACCTACCTCCCAAGGTTGTTGTGAGGATCAAATGAGGTAATATTTATAAAGCACAGTGCCCAGCATATAATAGATGCTATAAAAAGTTAGCTATCATCATTATCATCATCAAAACAAAGATAGACAACTTGGTGAGAAGAAGTTCCAGTGATAGAAATGGGAAGAGATGACAGGGACTGAAGCAATACAGCAGTTTGAATATAGTCCCCTGAAGAATGGTAGAAAAGGAAGGTACCTACTTCGTGGTTGTCAGGAGAATGGATCAAGTAATCCATAAAGTTACATAAAAGACACCTATTATAGACTCATAGACTCTCATAGACAGTATGCAGCCATTGCTGGATGCAAACATCATATAAAGACCCATAAGATAGCAATCTCTTTATGGTTCCAGACCTCAGAACCAGAATTAGTGGGTCAAAAATATAGGGAAGCAGATCGAGGCTCAATATAAGGAAGAACTTCATAAATTGTGGTGGTGTTGTTCAGTCATTCAGCTGTGTCTGACTCTTTGTGACCCCATGGACCATAGCACTCTAGGCCCTTCTATTCTCTGCTATCTTCCAGAGTCTGTCCAAGTCCATGTTCATTGCTTTCATGACACTATCTATTCATCTCATCATAAATTAGAGCTGTCTAAATAGGGATCTCCCCCTCCCTCATTCAAATGTAAATATTAAAGCATAGGCCAGATGAATTTGTGGCAGAATATTATAGAAGACATTTCTACACTGGAAGGGAGATCAGAACAGAGAGACTCTACAGTACCATTTCAGGTCTAAAAGATTTAAATTATTCAGATTTAGTGTTTAAAAAGTAAGATGACACTCACAAAAAGTTTCAAATACTCAATCAAGAGAAAAAGGAAGTAGAAGAACAACGATCTATATTTTATAAGAATCAGACAGAAAGTTCATTTACAATGTAATTTTAAAATTATAATTAGTTGACATGACAATGTTGAAATGAAAAATACATATTTTTAAAAGGGTAAAAAAATACTTCAAGTGTTTCTGGGATTCAACATTTAAGCTATCCTGCTTACTGAATTTTGCACATTGAAGTCTCATTTTTGTACCTTGAACTTGGGATATGTGGATGGTTTCCTAGCTGGCTATAAGGATACCATCTTTAAATAACAATCAAAATCTACCTATTACTTCCTTCTGCAGTGATCACCTAGACCCAGGGCTGTACATAATTATTCATATGTAATATTTAAGCAACCAAGTATACTTACAGTACAACTTTCACTGTTGTCTGTCCTGTGAGGGACAATAAAAGCGAGGGTCTCTAAAGAATTCTCACACCGCCAGGGAGTCTGGGTTTTATTTTTGCAACTTGTTAACACAATGAAGTAGTGAGTGGGTATCAGGACTTCTTGATTATTGATGAGTTTGCTGTTTCTGCATAAAAATAAATAAATAGAAAAGGCTGTGTTTCCTTAGGAGAGAAGAAATACATTCTTCTTTATTGTTGTGCCTGAGTTCAGTGGAGTATGCTTGTAAAGTCTACCTAAACTCACATCCTGAAGCACATGAGCCACTTTGACAACCTTTGCATAAAAAACAAAAAGTAACAATTTTCCAATATGGTAGGTCTTCTCATTCCTCTCCAAGATGTATTCTGGACTTCCTCCACTAGGTTCCAGCAGTTCATCCTGAAGCTCACTCTAGCCCCAGAGTTCAGACATTAGAAATTCTTCACTCACTCCTATGGCCTCCTTCTGATTGGATGGCTCCCCCCAGAACTTCCATGCAAGTAAGGTATACAGGAAAACCAAAGCGTCATTCCTCTTCTGGCTGCACTCAAGATTACCTGTATTATGCTCCCAAGTTGGGTACCCTCATCTGCACCTCCACCACCATACCTGTGTTTTCAGCTTTCTCTTATATGGTATAGCCTCCCATTAAAATATAAGCTTTGTGAGGGCAGGAGCTGAGTTTCTAGTCAGATTTGTATCCCTAGTGCTTAGCGCAGAGCCTGACATATAATAGTTGCTTAATATATGCCTGGTGACTGACTGAGAGTGCTATGCCATAACAACAAAAAAATTTATGATTAGCAGATGGTCTAAATCAACATAATCTGAAGGATTTTATTCTCTATATAAGTATGCTGCATTGACTATCATATGTTTGTAGACAATAAAAAATCTTCAGATTATATTGGCAGCAGCATCCAGGTGACATCAAGAGATTTGGAAGAAGGCTCTCAGCAAGTTGGGCTGACCCTTTGAGGCAGATTTGTAGGAAATAATAGACAAGTCACACAGGATGGGTGGGAAGGGGTGATCTGTGATCTGTCTCATGGGAGGGAGTATCCACACAGACTATATCAAAACTATAGACATAGATTATATCTGTGGAACCTAGAAAAAAATCCCCTTCCATTTCCCTAGGTAGATATTCTAGAGCTATCATGCACCAAATTAAAACACAAGCTAATAATCTAATAAAAATATTCTAAGTCACCAAAAGCATACTTAAGCTTATGAAGGAAGAACTTCATACATGAAAGCTGTCTAAGTAGGGAGTTCCCTTCTCTCTTTGCTGCAAATATTCAAGCACAAGTCAGCTGAACACTTGGTGGGGTATTAGAGAAGACACTTCAAGACTAGGAAGGAAAACTCCATGAGGAAATGCCACATACCCTGTATACTCTAGCCAAAGGTGGTTTGAGAAATGCATGTGAATTTCATTTTCTAATCATAAAATTCCAAAAATACTAAAATCCAGTTATAAGTGTATTCAGAACACTCACACAAAATGCAACCTGGCCTCTATAGAAAAGACATGGTTTTATAAGCAATGATCTTTTTTTCTTCTTTATGTACCTAAATCAGGCTTGTTGATGGCTTTTAAGTTTTTAATGAGGAATTAATTTTTTAAAAAGAAAAATTAAGACCAGAATCATAGACGTGTGAAGTGTACTCACTAGTAGAATAGAAACATTGGGATTCAATCCAAAGTGATAATGCCTGCTTAATACAAAACAAAAATGGAAAATAAGGGAAATTTTTCCTTCTTGATGGAAAAGGACAGAAAATGAATACACTACAATCAAATGTACCAATGTAAGTAACACCTGCTCTGACACTTAGTCTTAGAGAGTTGTCTAGAGTATTGGGCAGTTGGGCGACTTACCTCAAGTATGTGTCAGAAGTGAGACTTTAATCCAAATCTTTCTGGCTCTCATGCCTTTTGGTTTTAATTTAAAACCTCTAATTTCCTTATAGTTTCCTACTCAGTCAAAATAAATAATACTAAACAAAAGCTTTATATTTACATTGGATTTTATATTTTTCAGAACACTTCCATATCTATAATTTTATTTGAAACTCATAGATTGTTATAAAAAGTATTTATCCTACATAGATTTATATACTTACTTCCACATAAAGCAAAAGAAACAAAGCATTCAAATATTTATTCCCTTTTCTTATACCTACTATGTTTATGCTTCATAAAAATCTTTATGCCCAAGATCATGGTTCTTTTATTTAATTCAATTTTATTTTATTTCCAGTTCCAAATTTTTTCTTCTCTTTTCCCCTCCCCCACCTATTGAGAAGGCAAGAACAAAGCCCATTACACATATGTATAGTCATGCAAAATAAATTAGCCAATTTCCTTTATTTTTATTTATTTATTCCTTCTTTCCTTTTTTTCCCATCAAAAGTGCATGCTGAAAATTCTCACTGATTTTCCCCTTTGGTTTTTTTTTTTTGCTGTTAAGAGAAAGGGCTTCATTTTCAGATTTCTACCATAATTAATCATTAGCTCAAACACAGATTTCCATGTGTTAGTTACATGTATCTATCATGATTTTTTTAAATTAATTTTTAACTAGCCTCAGGATTACAAACTGTTTTTCAGTCAAAAGTAATTCTCGTGACTTTCCTAATCTAAAAATTCAGTGCTTCCAAATTTATATAACACCATTTACTTTCTAGTATACTTCATCAGTTATCACCTGAAATTAAAGAAAAATATGTGCTTGTCTTTAAAGAAAACAATAAAAGGTAGGAGTGAATGTCTGGAAAATAAATCACCTCTTTACTTTGAAAAGTTAGTCTAACATAAGGAAAAGTCTACTGGACTTTTAAATTTCCCTAATTATAAAATTTTGCCTTTCAAAACCTCTCCTTCTGAACCTTCTTTTACTGTCATCATGATTTCTGATGCTGTTGGATTATAGGGAGCGGACCACATATGCGAGTGATTAGAACTGGGCCCGAGGGTGAAGTCCTTTCATGAAAAAAGGAAAGAAAGCACCACAGAAGATAAACCAGAAGCCAGGTCAAGTCAGGAGCAAGAAGACCAAAGTCCAAAGAACAAGGTGGCAACTAGTACCAAAATAGAGGTTTCAAGCTAGGGATAGCCACATGAACTAAGACACAAGAATCAACAAAAGTGTAAATAAAAGGAGTTTGTCTTACACAATCTTCCTGTTCTTCTTTAGAGGTCAGTCTTCTTCCTCACTGCCTTCTAGCTCTGATAGGGACGTTATAGGATTCCTACTCCCCAAAATTCCTCTCCAGATTTCAAAGATATTATTTGGTGGGGCAGTGTTGATGGAAAACCTCTTTGAGCTGTGAGATATGCATGAAGTAAACAGTCTCCCATGTTCTTTGCTTAGACCTATATCCAGGCCTGTCTACTAAGATATTGAAGTTGATTTTTGGAGTAAAAGATTTCACAGACTATATATACTTCTTATCTGCCTGCAATTTGTAGGAATAAGCAAGAATTTATGGGTATACTTTCAGGTTAAGGGAAGTGACCAAGGTAGGAGCTCTGGAACAACAGCAGATCAGGATCACTGACTTAGTGTTCAGACTCCAGAGACAAAGTAACTGGACCCACAAGCTAGGGTAAACAAACTAAGCACTCAGTTCTTGCCCATGTTACAAGTGAAGAGAATATATTCCAGAGAATTGCAAGACTTGGCCAAGATTGCAGACTTGGCCCCTCTTTCTCCTATATTGACCAACAAAGTCAGGTTGCCCAGGATGGATTGCTGGAACAACCCCAAAGAGGACAATAATTCTAAAAAACTTACATGCAAAGCTTCAATAAAAAATACAGCTTGCCGAGATTGATTAGAATTCCTAAAGAAATGAAAGAATTTTTTTTAACGATAGTATAAATGAAAGGAGAGGAATAGAGAAAAGAATAAGAAAAGAATGGGGAGCCTGGATATTATATTTCAAAAACAGAAAAAAGGTAAATACAAATAATTGGGGGGGGGGGATTTATGAGGATGGAATGTTTGTATTTGAATATGGAGAAACAGGTTATACAAGAATTCCATAAATGTGAAATATCATAAGGATTCATAAGTGTAAAATAAGGTAGAGAACCTGGAAGTGATTTTTGTTATGTTTTGGTTACCTTAAAAGAAAAAAGGAAAGGGGAGGGGGGGAGGCAGGAAACAATACATTAAGGAATAAAAGCAAAGGAATGGGAGTACTTATCTCACATAATGAGAGGGGGAGAGACACAAGTAATAAGTCTATTGAGATGAATGAAAAGCACAAGACAGAGTTTCTGGGTAATTAATCAACTCAATCCTAACTTGGTTATTAATATAATAGAAAAATAATAATTTCTCTCACTATATAAATGAAGAGGTTAGGGGAACAGCCATCACTTTGTTTTCATCTAAACTGTGAAACAATGGTCAAACATACATAAACACACATATACACACACATACACACACACACACACACACACACACACACACACACACACCCCTCAACAGGGAAATAAGAGGAGAGGAGGGAATAAGATAGAGAGCAGATTCAAGGAAGAACGAGTCACAAGCAAAATAAACTCTAAATTCAGAAGGATAATGGTGAAGAGAGGTTTAAAAGAGACAAAGGCTAATAACCAGTGATTGAGATCTAGGTGAAGGGGAAAGAAGAGGGTAGAGGAGGTGGAAGGTGTTTGTAACAAACATAGAACATTGGTGCTAAGCACATTTTCATTCTATGCCCCAATTTTTCTACATAAAAAGGAAGGAGGGAGCAAAGAAAGGGGGGGAAATACGGAAATAGGATAGATAAAATACATAAATTTAAAAGTTTTTGCACAAACAAATCAGTATGGCAAGAAATAGCCAAATATTTGAATCTAAATCACAGGATATACCAAGACGATGAGATGTTTCTATAGATATGATCAAGAAAAAGAAGACCCAAAGCGTAGTTTTCTTTTTAAGACCTTGCAAAGATATCAAAGGCTCTACAAGCACTAGAGTGGTGATAGTCTAAGTAGAGAGAAAGTGGGGAACAAAAAATCTTGGCAGTGAATTTCTTTACTAAAGGTCTTATTTCCAAAATATAGGAATAGATGTACAAGACTCATTCCTCAATTGATAAGTAGTCAAAGGATATGAA